ATGTTGTGTAGGGTTTGCGCGCGTGCCTATGAGTAGTCTATTGTTTTGACCAATATGCATATACATATTCATGCTCCACAGATACCAGCGTGTGAGTGTGTGAGCATGCATGCGAGTGGTTTGACCACTGTATTTGTCAATTATGTGTGCATGTTGTGTGTTTTTTGCGTGTGGGGTTATGATCCATTTAGTGCTGGTTTAAATTTGTTTATCAAGATTTTTTCTTGTATTTGTAGCTAAGAATACTTGTCTGTTTGATATATTGGCATAATTTTAAATTCACCCTGGTTACATTTATAGATGTGTTGTGATACAAAGAGTTTTCCGTTGTCTGGTAATTTTATATTGCTTTTGTGTAGGGAAACCCTGTTGTTTAGTTGTTGCCTGATACCTATATATGACTTCTTGCATTTTGTGCATTTGAGTGCATAAATCACATTTTTGCCGTTGTAGTTTAATTTTTTATTTATTAGGAATGTTTTGTGGTTTTCAAAAGTGTAGGAGATTCCTTCTATAATGATGTCACAAACCTCACATCTTTTTTTGTTGCATTTTGTGACTCCCTGTATTGTATGTTGGTTAAATTTGGATGAGGTCAATATGTGTTTTAGGTTTTTAGATTGGCGTTTGCTTTTAATTATTTTGGTTGTTTTTAGTATATTTTACAGTTTATTATTCTTGCTAAGTAGGTCTAGATTTTTTGTAATATCTGTGAATAATTCTGGATTGTTGTATGTTGAGACATAAGTTAGAGTTTGTTCGACGTTACGTTTTTTTGGATTTCGTAGTTGGTCTAAAGGAATTTTTTGCGAGTTCAAAACATTTGTTTATTAGTGTCGTGGGGTAGCATCGTTTTTTTAGAGTTTTATGTAGTTCTTTTAGTGGGGGTCGGGGGGTTATCAGTCACTATAGTACAAACCCTACGTGCTAGAGAATAGGGGATAAATTTCAGGCAGCTTTTTGGGTGATAGCTCTTGAAATGAAGATATTGTTGTGTGTCTGTAGGTTTGTGGTAAATATCTGTAATTATGTGGTTGTTTGTATTTCTAATGAGTATATGTAAAAATGGTAATTCGTTGAAATTATATTCTTGGGTGAATTTGATTTTTGGGTGTAAGTTTTGAAGTAGAGTGTGGAATTGATTAATATCACCCCATGAGGATTTCCAGAAAATGAAACAGTCATATAAATATCGTTTCCAAGCTTTAGTGAAGTGGGTTTTTATATTATTCCCATATAGTTGTCCTATCTTTTCATAGAGATTTTCCTCTAGGTAAGCTAATGTTAGGATGGCATATGTTGGTGACATTTTTGTTCCCATTGCGGTACCCAGGGTTTGGATATAGTTTTTGTTGTCGAATTCAAAGGTGTTATTGTTTAGAATTAGGTCTATACTATCGATAATTAATTCCTTAGTGAATCTGGGATGTAGTATTTCTGGATGTTTTTCAATCCAGAATGAGATTGCCTTTTTACCTCATTCATAAGGTATGTTACTATATAGGCTACTAATGTCAAAATTTGTCATAAGTGTTCCCGGATCTACTTTTTGTGATATGGAGCTAAGGGAGTAAATATTGTCTCTGGTGTAGCTTTTAATCTGCTTAGTAAATGGTTGTAATATTGTGTGTATTAGGTTACTGAGTTTTCTAGTTGTATAGGCTGGTCCTGTTACTATGGGTCTGAATGTAAGGTCACTGGACTTTGGTATTCATATATATATATATTGCGGCGTGTCACACGTTTTTTGTAAGAAAAGGATGATGATTGATTTTAAATCATTGTTATAATTTGTGGAGGAAATGATTTTTTTTTTGGATAGTTGTCATTCCCTTGTTCAAATTTAACTTTAATTTAAACAAAACGGAACAATTTTTCAAGAGTGGGGCTGCAAAAGCAGCTTGATTCCCCCTTTGATATATATTTGATGCAATACTTGATTGAATGAATTGATGAGCAGATTTCAACATTAATATGCCAGTTGAGTTGTCACAACAAATATATATTGTCAGGCACTACCCACTGATTTGTGATTTCTTGCTCAACTTGACGTCCATATTGATCTTGGTAATATAGCCTACATCTTCCGGCTTTCTCCAATATTTTTGATAGGAGTCATTCATTTGCATATATATATATATATATATATATATATATATATATATATATATATATTAAAATTAAAAAAAAAAGACAACCTTAATGATCCATTAATTATATTTTATTTCCCCAGGAAAGTGTTTTTTTCTGGTTCCTCAGATCACATTTCCAAGCATAAAAAAATGGTTTCAAAATTTACATATTATTTTTATACGCTTTTGAGGGGTAGTTTTAAGTTGATGTAAGGTGTGAGAGGGGAGGGGAGGAGGATAGATACGGTCGAAATTAGAGTAGGAAGGGATAGATAGGAATAATTTTAAATCTATTTTTATTAAGATACTAAGAGTAAGGTGGGTAAGCACCATACATTGACCTATTTAATAAGTCATCTCATAGGAAAAAAGACAAAGAGAAAAAAAGAAGATATAAGAAAGCAAATGGGGAAGCAGGGAGGTGAGGGGAAAAGAAGCGAAAGAAGAAAAGGAAGAGTAAATTAACATATATAGGCATATTGCATTTAATTTCAAAAACACTGATTGACATAGTTTACAGTTAACGCTTGACATTATTTTACAGATTACCAACAAAATAAAATAGAAGAGGAAAATATAATATGAATATAAAATAAACGAAAATATTAATATTATTAATAATAAGTAAAAAGTAAAAAATTAAAAATTAAAATCTAAAATTTTAAATTCTAAATTTTAAATTTTAAATTTCAAATGCGAAATTCTAAATTTTAAATTTAAAATAACTTAAAAAATTCAAATAATCTCGAAAAAATATATAATATCGAAAACATATTGAAATGAAACAAAATTTAAAAATAATAATAATATAATATCGTAATAATAATAATAATAATAATAAAACTACCATTGAGAGGAATAATAATAATAATAATAATAATAATAATAATAATAATAATAATAATGACAGAGTGGGCCAATATCTGCACTGGAAAATCTGCAACTTCTACGGGAAGAAAACTGAAAGAAACTGGTATGAACACCACCCAGACCCGGTCACGGAGATAGAACCTGTTACAATTCTATGGGACTACACAATACACACTGACAGAACAATTAAGGCCAACCGCCCAGATATTGTTATTAAAGACCATAAACAAAAACGGTGCCTCCTTATTGATATGGCAGTCCCTGCCGACTGCAATGTATCTTTGAAGATATTCAAAAAGTTGTCAAAGTACAAGGACCTTGAAATAGAAATCGCGAAAATGTGGCATATGGGAACATCAACAATCCCTGTTGTAGTTGGAGCCCTAGGACTGGTTGGAAAAGATTCCAGTAGACTAATTGAAGGGATACCTGGAAGTCCATACAGGAGATACAGAAAATTGTTCTAACAAGTACAGCCCACACCTTACGAAGGGCTTTATCTATGTAATCTTTTTCTTTCTTTTTTTTTTTTTTTTGTCAGTGGAACGTGTCGTAAACGCCAGAAATCAAAGAAAAAAAAATATAATAATAATAATAATAATGAACTAGTCATAATATCAATGAGAGGAATAACGGTGGAGTAATAATGATGAAACGGTAATATTTGATCAGATATAACCCATTTAACCATATATATCCCTGCATATATGTACATATAAACACACGCAAATATACAAATAGCTATACACCCATACAACACACACACATATATACATATATACACATTTACACATATATACGCATACATATATACATACACACATATACATATATATACATACATTTATACACATACACACATATACATCCACATATATATATACATATATATCCATACATATACACACTTACATACACACATATATATATATATATATATATATATACATATATGTATGTATCCAAATATTCAAATACAAGCAAGTAAATACCACCATATAAACGCACACACACATACATATATTTGCATACTTATAAATACCATATAACCACCTACAAATGTCAACACAATTATATAAACACATCTCAATACACATATACACAAATATTTTTACGCATATACAGTATAGCATAAGCAATTAATCCTATATATTGACACCAGGTGTAATTTCATATCTAGATAATTTAAAATTCCGGAGTTTTCATGGACAGGCCTCCCAAATATTAGATGTAGTTTGTTATTTTGAGACGATGTCTGTGCCTACATTTGAAGATAACATATATATATATATATATATATATATATATATATATATATATATATATATATACGTACATTCACATAATCATATATACATAGAGAGAGAGAGTTTAACAATAAAGATGAAGACAACAGTCCGGACACTATAAATAGTGCTAATATATTTGATATATACATAAATGAACACCGGATGGTAATGTGTATTTGTAATGGTGCGTGTGTCTGTCTAGTCGGAGTTTTATCTTGACAAGCGGTGTGTCAAGTTTCCTATTTATTCAAATGTTGGGATTTATCAAATAAACTGTTTACAATGCAAAAATGTTTATGTGGGGAGATATCAATTGATGTAAAAGCCCGCATCTACGAACACAAGAGAGACTTGCTTTTGGACAAACGATCTAACTCTCTAGAAACAATGCTGGACATAACTTTGATTTCATTAATGCCACCCAAATTAAAAGAGAACATAATTCTTTAAGGAGAAAATACACTGAAAACTTAATAACATTATTACCAACTATAAACACACGCCTAAAACAATACATTACATCACCATCTTTCTTTAAATCCATTCTTTAAGAATCTAACTTATATCTTACACAAAGAATACATTCTTAAAGAAGTCAGCCATAAGTTAGAAACTTTACACCCCACTGCACCGGTTGACCTCACACAAAGGTGATAAAACTCCCAGTAAACAGACACACACACAATTATATATCTATATCTATATCTATATGTCTCTCTCTCTCTCTCTCTCTCTCTCTCTCTCTCTCTCTCTCTCTCTCTCTCTCTCCGTATATATATATATATATATATATATATATATTATGAAATAAAAATAATAAAATTATTGGAAATATTTTGCATAGTTTTTATAAAAGTTCCGCAAATTCTTATACTGTCCATACGTAAAAGTATATTTTCTTATGACTTCTCTCTCTTTCTCTCTCTCTCTCTCACACACACATACATACACTATATATATATATATATATATATATATATAAAGAAAATAACTATATTGCATATATATATGTGCCTGTGTGTGTATGCCTCTATGCCTATTGTTTATGTATGGATGTTTGTTCCTGCGCATGCGTTCACAAGGAAACATTAAAGGTAAAGAATTTACAACACCAGTAGTGACAAGAATCTTCGTACCCTTCATCTGTGCAAGACTCTTCGGCGCCCTGACAAGCCCTTAAACATGCACCCTATTGTAATTTTTGATAAACCAATTTGTATACATTACAGCGGATTCTCCACTGGCAAACATTCCAAACGAAAACAATTACAATGACGCACAGTCCTGTCAACTGTCCATCTATCCTACATTCAGTGGAGAACACCTTGTGTTCCTCGACTTTTACGGTGACGTATTTATCTTTTTGAAGCCTCGGATCTCTCTTATCGCATTCACTTTTTTTTTTCCTCTTCTCGGCTTGCTTGCTGAATTTAAGCAAGATTTTATATCTTTCATAACTGACGAGTAAGAATGTGCGCATAGCATAGAGGTTTTTTTAGAAATACAAAATTGCCTGAAATGTTTCTTATATATACTTAAATACGTTGCTGCTACATATAAATTTGGTTGAGTGTTGGTTAGATGAAGATATGCTGCCTAAATACATACACACACACATATATATATGTGTGTGTTTGTGTGTGTGCTTAAAATAGATAGTTTAGTATCTATCTATATTTCCGAGATGAGATATTATGTACATATTTACATTATTCGGACTATTGTCCTCATCTTTGTTGGCATATTTATCACAACGTTTCGGCCGTTGTACGCTCCGGCCTTCTTCAGGTAGTTGAAATTTCGAACTGAACCCTTTATTTCGTTCGCTGGAGTAGACTGTTCTAGTTCCATGTGCCATGTTTAATGTATGTCAGTTATCAGTTATCTCCTGTTAATTCCCCTCTCCAAGTTCTCCACTGCCTTAACCAGGTATTGAACTCACAACTCTTTGGGCCCTGTCACTGGATCTAAGCAACGCATTTATCACTGTGCAATGTGTCCTTAAGCCGAAACGTTGTGATAAATATAGCAACAAAGACGAAGACAATAGTCCAAATAATGTAAATAGTATAGATAATTTAGTTAGTAAAACGAGGTCAAAATAAAGGATACCAATATAATCAGTACGATAAACATTTATTAAATATTAATTATTAGCCGTATGATAGACATGAAGCACAGAAAAAAAGGTTTTAAGTTCGGAATTTTCGAACACGCTTGTGTTCTTTATCAACGGACCGAGAAATAAACAGAGAAATGGGAATTAATCACCGACAGATGTTTTTGTAGACGGTGTATTTTCTGGTGGAAATTATATTGTTAGCAAAAACCCGATCTCTGCCTGATTCTTTCTGATAAAAAAATTTCGCACATCGAGGAATCAGGCAGATCAAGTTTTTGCTAAGAATGTGTTTTCCACCAGAAAATACACTGTCTACAAAAACATCTGTCGGTGAGTAATTCAAAACTTCAAAAATGCAATGGAACGGTTGGTTGAAGTGTGCAACGACAGGAATTGTTGTCATTGTTTTGTTGTTTTTTTGTTTTTGTTTTTTGTTTTTTTGTTTTTTTTGTTTTTTGTTAAGGTTATTGAACCGAAGATGGAATTCGGTACCTTTTCTTCGTCATAATTACCTATTTTGCATACTCGCGTATCATGAGTACCCTTGAAGACCTACTTTTGAAGCTAATTTGTTTGGCTACATTAAATGAATATATAGTTTGGCCAACTGCGTAGACGGGGCCAGCAGTACATACGCTAATTTTATATCACGTGTATGATGCGACCCCCTTAATATTAGCCTCAAAATTAAGTCTTCAATAGTCGTATGATACGCGAGTATATACGGTATATAAATGAATTTTTTGAACTGTCACAAGTCAGAACCGGTGGTTTGAATATCGTGTGAGTGCCGGTGGCTGTGAAATTGCTATCAATGAGGATGTGTTTACAGATTGGTATCTGGGTTTATTGCAGGTGCTATTGCCTTGGTGAGGTGTTGAATTATGTATGCTGGATGATGTTAGGAGTGTGTGTAGGTTTGGGCGGGGGCTGACGTCTAGCGTGAAGTTGGTTCCCGCTGAATATCTTTCTAATTGTTTGATCGCGTTTTAAATAAATTTACTTCTTTTATGCGCCGTGTCCCTTCAGGTCGTAGGTAATCATGGCTCTCCACTTCCTCCTATCCCTTGTAGCTCTCAATATGTTTTGTCGTTTTGCTACTTCTCGCAAAGCCTGTTCCGTATCCACTTCCTTAAGACAACAGGTTGCTTTCCCTTGTCTCTCTCTCCCTCTCCCTCTATCCTCCCTGTGAGCATCAGATTCTCCAAGCCCTCCTTTATATATATATATATATATATATATATATATATATATATATATATTGCACATTGACGTCAACCCAGAATCGACAATCTGTTTCGTGCTAAACACGATCGTCAGGCCAGGTGCTCAGAGCCTGACGATTGCTTTTAGCATGAAACAGACTGTCCCTTCTGGATGTTGACTCCAATGTCCACATTTTTATTTACATACGCTCTATCCCTGATATTGAGTAATTTAATCCACACGCACACACGCACACACGGGCACACGTATATATATATATATATATATATATATATATATGTATGTATGTATGTATGTATATATATATTTAAATATGTTTGAAACAGTACAAAAGCGTATTAAGGTATTAAGAACAAGAAATTTTATATTGTAGGCCATGATAGATTTAAAACAAAAACACACACCAGTATACCGGTTTCGTCCCCTCTCATCAGAACTGTTAACGTGGAACTAAAATTATGATGAAAAGAAAAAAAAAAAGTCTGTCATGGATGACATGAATGAGTATATATATATATATATATATATATATATATATATATATATATATATATGTTATAATACCGATGATACCGAGTATATATATATATATATATATATATATATATATATATATATATATATATATATATATATATATATATAATACCGATTAGTAAATGTCTGTCACTTTTTATGCGTGAGGATAGAAATCAACAGTTTAAAATTTTCTCGCAATAATTGTTCAATCAATTGCGGATAAACGTAAACATCTTAAAGGATGAAGGTGACATTTTTTAGATAAACAATATTTGATTAAAAAACAAACATGAGGATAATGTTTCGAATCACTTTTCTTTATTAACAGAATATTATCTACAGGTATGTTTTTCGAAATTCTTAAGCTCTTTTAATATATCAACTTATTGATGCACATTTATATATATGATGAGATGCTGTTAGCTAGATAAAAATTATAAATATCAAATTTTGTTTTCATATATATATATATATATATATATATATATATATATATATATATATATATATATATATATATATAAAAGGCTCAAACACTAATATCCCATGGTGGTTATAATTTATTAAATTGGAATCGTAATCACGATCCAATTCATCAGTTTTTTGAATTTGTAGGTCTGATGAATTGGATCGTGATTCGATTCCAATGTAATAAATTATAACCATGGAATATTAGTGTTTGAGCCTTTTATATTACATTCTTACTCTGTCCTGGATATTGAGTTCTACCAGGATTCTATCCTCTTGGGAATTTATACATATATATATATATATATATATATATATATATATATATATATATATATATATGAAAATATAGTCTTAAGGTGTGCTATATTTATGGGATAAAGTGATCAATATCAGAGATAGAGCATGTGTAAATATAAAAGTGAACATAGAAGTCAACATTAGAGGCGACAGTCTGTTTCATGCTATATGCAATCGTCAGGCCACGATTGCATATAGCATGAAACAGACTGTCGCCTCTAAGTGTTGGACTTCTATGTTCATTTTATATATATATATATATATATATATATATATATATATTCTATTTATTCATTACTTTTATAGATATAATTTATTTAAGTAAATGCTCTGTTTTAAATTAAACAATATTAATTACATTTATGTCCGAGAAATTTCGTAGAAAATATGCGATCTTCGAACATTCATGTTGGTAAATGTAATGAATATTATTTAATTTAAAAAAATAAAAAACAGAGTATCTATTTAACTAAACTATATCTATAATAATAACGTATACACAGAAAATATATTAAATAAATATTTAATCCATTTCACACACACACACACACACACACACATATATATATATATATATATATATATATATATATAATCTTCGCCTGGCGATCGCAATAACTTGAAACTTAAGTATCTATCCGAACTTTGCCTCTTTCTGAGTAATTGACCTCACTTGGTCCTTTAGAATACATCAGCCGTGTATTTTACTGTTTTGATAGGTGTCTGTCTTTTTATTTTTATTTTTATTCTTTTTCGTTTTCTCTTTTACTTCTATTTGTTTTTCTTTGTTTTTGTTTTATTGATTGTTGGTTTTTCTTTTTATTAGTTTTTGTTTGATTGGTCACCTGGCTGGATTTACCACTACCTTGGGGTTTATATATATATATATATATATATATATATATATATATATATATATATATATATAAAGAAAGAACAGTAAGGTATATAATCCGGTGTTCTTATAGACATTTTTATTTTTACAAAATAGTGTTCAATGTAAATTTACAGAGCATTAATATTATAAATTAATTGATTTAAAATATGTTTTTTTTCGCTACACAGTTCTAACCAAGTTTCAAAAAAAAATTCGCTTGAGGATGAAATGGAACTAATGTTTTTAATTTAATTACAAAACTAAATTCGGGTCTTTTAGCTTCCATTTTTGAAACATGGTTAGAACTGTGTAGCGAAAAAAAATATTTTAAATCAATTAATTTATAATATATATATATATATATATATATATATATATATATATATATAATAAAGGGCGAGAGAGAAAAATGAGAGAGAGGGAGAATGAGAGAGAGGGTTGGAAGAAAATTTAATACAGTTTTTAAGTGAAGTAGATATTTATATACAGATTTATTCACCCACCTATATGCCATTTCGTTCCAATGACCATCTTTGAGGCCTCTTAATATTTACATCCTTCCAGAAGATGGAATTCTTCTGGTTGAGGGACTCAGCTAAGCCAAGAGAACGACTTACCAACAGTGCACTCAGCTGTGACACCATCTCCCAAAATGGTACATATACTTTTTGCTACTTGTATAAATAATAAAATTTCTTGCAAAATTTATATAACATGACTTCAATCCACAGTTAACACGCGCACTGAATCTATCAGTAGTCACCGTGCGCCCAAATGTAAATTTAATACAATGTATACAACTACTTTTCATTAGATATACTCAAACACGCGCACAATCTAACGCCAGAAAATATGAACACGTGATACCTACTTGACCAATGAAAACAAACAGCACAGAAATATGGAAATATCGTAACATTCATTCTGGTGAAACTAAAATAAAAAATAGCGAAACATGTCAAATTTTGAAGTTCTTTAATCAAATATTTTAATTCGACTTTTCAAAATAAAATATTTTTTTAAATTTTAACCAGAAACAACACTCAAGACAATATACATAGGTTTATGGGACATCACGTTAAAATACCTGTTCCCGTACGATCACCGAAGTTAAGCAACATCGAGCATGTTCATTAGGGTGATCGCTTGGATGTACAGGTGATACAATGGATAATGGCCCGAAATTGTTAATCGGATGCTGAGTTCGAGTTGGGTTCGTTATATTCACTTAACCTTTGGAAAGTTATGAATGCACCTCCACTCCCCAACTATGGGTTAATTAGTAATAATTATATGAGTAAATGATTATCTTCCTATGGCACTGATGCTGTGACAATAGTTCATTGTACTTTTGTTTCTATTTTATTTGCCGTAAATTGCGTCGTCCAAGTCGAGTTTTCAAGTCTAAAAATATATTTTCAAAATTCGGGGTCGTCTTATATGGCTGCTATAAAATGCAGTCCTTTCCCACCGAGTTGTAAACAAATGGGACAGCACTAGTACAAATTACTGTACTGTACTGTAATTAGCAGTACTATAAAAAAAAACTACCTGGTATGATGTGTAGTCTATGGTATTAATATTTTATAGGTGCTGATGTTGACTTTAATGTGTTTATCAATAGGCCTGATGAAAGTTCGCTAAGATATACCGACTCAATATACGATACCTATCGGTGTATGTTGTAGGTTGTTTGCTATACAAGGCTTATGGAAAGATATTACACTTAATCTCTCAATATACAGGTATATGGTGTGTCTTTATGTCGTTTTCATACAGGCTGAATCCTGTAGCCTAACTTCATTTACCGGTAGGCCTAAGTTTTGAGCAATTGATAGCTCACCGTATGTTTGGGGTCGACTTAAACGGGCAGGTAGAGGCCTAACGTAGAATTTTGAGCTAAATATCTTCAGGTCGACTTGTACGCCGCTACTTACGCTGACTATTATCATCATACTATAGAAAAAAGATTATTTTTTATTATTAAATAAAAAGTAATTAAAGCAGCTTTCAGTTTGTGTGATATATCTAACTTTATTTACCGTCTAGTTCTAAGTCCTAAATTGCAATTATGGATCAGAATACGATTTTCCCCTTCCAGTTTTCCCACTTCCGCTTCCTGTTTTTCCAGTCAAGTACAGAGCATTTCGGAAGTCATGATACAGTATTTTCCTCATTTTTTTTTTTTTTTGAAATTTCCCCTTTTAATCCCCCCGTAAGATTTTAGGTCAATACGGGAGCTATTAAGTGCCATTTTTTTTTAATGTAATTAAAAAGATCTTACAGGATAATTTTAAAGGGGGAAAATGGAGAAATCGTTTTGATAAACAAGTTGCATTTATGATTACAGGGTAACCTTACATGAAAACAACTAACATCTCTCTCCCAGTCTATCGCTTTATCTATCCACCTCCGCTTTCTCTATGACTACCTCTTTACTCTGCTTATCTCTTTCTTCCTTCTCTCTCTTTTTGACTCATTGACAGAATGGCGGTAAACAAAATACATGAAAGGCCAGATAATTCCAATTATCAATTGGATTTTATTTTCCTTTTTGAACAAACTGAGTACTGATTAGCACAACTGTTTTTATTGTCCGTTTATTTTCTACTATGTTTGTATAATTTTCGATTATTGTTTTTGTCAGTCTTTTTAAAAAAAATTGTTTTTAGGAAACATTTTTATTCATTATAATTATACCTTTTCATACAATGCTATTTTATATCTAATTATATATATATATATATATATATATATATATATATATATATATATATATATATATATATATATGAGAAAACGATATATATTTTATATATCAAGAACGTTATTGTGGAAACTGTATGGAAACTGTATTACAAAGTGGAAAAGTTTACTTGTGACGCGTTTCGTCCTTCAGGACTTCATCGGACTAAATTCCTTATGTTGGTGGGACTACACATGCGCACGATAGAGGAGTGTTGGGAATTTTAGAATTTTTCTTTTTTTACCGAATTCATTTAGAGTCTTTTTCTTTAGGTATTTCACACTTTGATAAAAGATCTGCCAGGAATGGTGAAATGTTTTAAGAACCAGAACGCAAATTTACTGTAGATTACATTGCGATCAAGGCACTCTCTAGACATTTACATCGTAGTGAATTATTTTTTTCCTTTGATCAGAGTAGCATTTTAATATCAAAACTGTGGTCAGTCTCGTTATAGTGAGCAACCAACGCATTTGATCTATTATTTTGTAAAATGTTCCTTTTGTGTTCATATAAACTTTTATTTAGATTCCTTGAGGTTTTTCTTATGTATTTTTATGACAGTTATTACAGACAAGGGAGTAAACTCCTTCTTCAGGTTATAGTTTTGTGTGTGTGTCCATATATATATATATATATATATATATATATATATATATATATACACTCACACACACACATACACATATATATATATAAGATAAAGAAGAAATCAGAAATGTTTATCAATTTAACATTATTCATTATTCACCTTTTACAGTGCCTGGGAGACACTCGATGTAGAGGGTTACCTTTAGAGGCAATTTATGTGTATCGGACTGGAAGATAGAAGCTATCCCTACCTTTGAACAGGTTAAGATTGTAGCAATCGAAGAAACATCCCTTTGGGGGTCTGTTCCACGGGGCAGTGGTTAGTGGGAAGAAGTTGTTAGAATGGAACTTACTTCTCACCGATGGAATACGGGGGAAATGTGGGTGGTTTGCTACTATGTAAGTGGCATGGCGTGTTCTTGCCATAAAGGTTTGACTTGGCGGGACCAGGGAATGTAGTTCGTCCGACCACTTTCCTCTTCAGGGTGATTTGAATTCAGAGTTTCTTTCTCTTACACTGGTTCCCAACCAAGTTTCTAGGGACCGAACTGCTCTTCTATTTACCTATAGGAAGGGGGAAATGAATTCGTATCTTTACCAAAAATATTAGCACGTAAGTGAATGCAATGAACTCGATGGGAATTCGAACTTAGCTCTCCTTTTCCTAAATCCGAACCACTATACATCACTAAAATCACTAAATTGCAGTTCAAACTGGGTAAGACGTTAAACTTCATCCGCGTCCTGGGTAAGACGTTAAACTACGTCCAGCAGCAAGGCCTCTGATCAGGAGGTTTGAGGAGCGTGGAACCACCTCTTAATGGCTGGTGTTCCCAGGTCCATCATGACCCGGGTTGGTAGCGCCTGTTAGGATCCCAGCTATGGGCAAATAGTTAACTATTACCAGCAATACTTTTTGAAAAAATTATTACCAGCAATACAATTTTGAAGGAAATATATTACCAGAAACAGATTTTTGACAAAACAAAATATTACCAGCAATAAATTTTTTGTCAGCATTAAATAACCCATTGAGGATGATATGCCGAAAAACAAAATAAACCAAACCAATATAAACCAAATAATACATATTCTACTCATACGAATCTATCCTAAAAATGTTGTTGGCATTAAATAACCCATTGAGGTTGATATGTCGTAAAACAAAATAAACCAAACCAATATAAACCAAAGAATACATATTTTATTCATATAAATCTATCCTAAAAATGTTGTCGGCATTAAATAACCCATTGAGGTTGATATGCCGTAAAACAAAATAAACCAAACCAATGTAAACCAAATAATACATATTCTATTCATACAAATCTATCCTAAAAAATGTTGTCAGCATTAAATAACCCATTGAGGTTGATATGCCGTAAAACAAAATAAACCAAACCAATGTAAACCAAATAATACATATTCTATTCATACAAATCTATCCTAAAAATGTTGTCAGCATTAAATAACCCATTGAGGTTGATATGCCGTAAAACAAAATAAACCAAACCAATGTAAACCAAATAATACATATTCTATTCATACAAATCTATCCTAAAAATGTTGTCGGCATTAAATAACCCATTGAGGTTGATATGCCGTAAAACAAAATAAACCAAACCAATATAAACCAAATAATACATATTCTATTCATACAAATCTATCCTAAAAATGTTGTCGGCATTAAATAACCCATTGAGGTTGATATGCCGTAAAACAAAATAAACCAAACCAATGTAAACCAAATAATACATATTCTATTCATACAAATCTATCCTAAAAATGTTGTCAGCATTAAATAACCCATTGAGGTTGATATGCCGTAAAACAAAATAAACCAAACCAAATCGACGAACTCAAGATCCACAAGATGAAAACATCAGATTGAAAACATGCCGGATTATTATAGTTCCTTGTCCACAGAATTACAGAGATAAAAACTAACACAATAGAATAGCTAGACTTACATTTACAAATGACACAATATAATACGCAGCTTCTAAAATCTATTTTGATAGCCAGAAATCATGAATTGTCATCAATTCCTCACTTTATGTATTACAGCCAACTATATAAATTCCTTTAGTTTCCCTTAGCGCTTTGTGGTTGGTCTTTTAGCACAAAGGGCTCGTACTCGAAACCGATGCTGCTCAACAATAAAATGTAGGATATGTTACAGTAAAATACAAAAGCCTAAAGAGAACTAACCCTACCCAGAGTCCGACCATAACCTCTCGTAACGCCTCTCCTCTTACCGATTTTGCCGGCCACACAGACACTTGTAAATGCAAATTCTTTTATATTTTTTTTCTTCGCTTTCCCTCTATATTTTTTCTCGACAAATTTTTAATCTCTGACTGTACAGTCCCCAAATAGAGTCATCATAGGCAGGGCTTCCTTTTTTTCTTTTTTTTTTTTTGAGTATTTTTTTTTTTCTGAAGCAGATGGCCGCTTGCCATTTTGGGGGTCCTTTCGTTGTAACAGAACAAAAGACATTTGTGAAAAGTGTCAAAGAATCTTCGTCAACCTAACACCTTCTTTATTTTTGCCCCCTTCCTGTGTTCTTTCGGTTACCTCTCACCCATCTCTTGTTCTCTCCCACTCTCTCTTTTCACTCTTTTGTATGGTCTTTTCTCTGCTCTCTCTCTCTCTCTCTCTCTCTCTCTCTCTTTCTCTCTCTCTCTCTTTCTCTCTCTTTCTCTCTCTCTCTTTCTCTCTCTCTCTCTTTCTCTCTCTCTCTCTCTCTCTCTCTCTCTCGCACACACAAACACGCTCTGTCTCTCTCCCTATCTCTTCTCTTTTGTTCTTTCTCGCTCTACTTTACATTTTCTTTGTTTCGGCTTTCGCAACCTCATTCATTTTCTCCAACCTCCCTCTCGCTCTCTCTCTCTCTCTCTCTCTCTCTCTCTCTCTGTATATATATATATATATATATATATATATATATATATATAGCCTCCTCCATTAGGTCACTTAAAAAAAGCAGCATATCGCGATGAATAAAAGTCCATAAATCAACGGAAACAAAATTTTGTCTCAATATGTTTTGTTGTTATGAAGAGGAAAGACCAAAGTATTTTTTAAATATTTTTTGAAATTTTTTACTCCTTTCTATCACGTAGAAAATTTTGGTTAAATGTTTTGTTTTTTTTACGACAGCGTGAGAAGAGTAAAAAAAGGTTTGTTTTATTTTACGCTTTTCCCGAGGAAAACACACGTTAATAAGGAAATTCTTGCAAAAATCAAATAATTATCGGATTTTAATGAAACTTTCAGGACTTATTCAGAAATGAATGAAATTATTTTTGAAAATTTTTTTTCAGGAAATCTTGTTAAAAAGAGATTTTTTTTAACATGTTTGCACCCACTTACATATTTTCATGAAATTTCGAGAAATTAAATCTTCACGCGCGGGATTTGTTTTATTAGTTATAAACAGGACTCTTTGTAGAAAGTAAATCCCCAGTTTGTTTTTTTGTAAAACAGTACCCGGTTTCATAGAAAATCTGCTTTGAATTATAAAAAAAATGTAAAAAAGTATGACATTAATTAATTGGAAAAAGCTTTCACCTGTTTTTGTAAATACGTTATACTAAGGACATTATTTTGGGAAGAAATAATTTTTTTTCGATGAATAATGTATTTTTTACAAATTTTATTCCCATTTTTAAGTTTTTTTTCATTAACTTCTTAATACTTCAAAAATCGTTTAAAATTCTTTATTGCTTTCAAGCACGTAATGCAATGATAACGTTAATGAAAAAGTAAATTTACGAATCGAAATTTGAAAAGCACATAACAGTCGTTTGACCCAAAATATTTTAAAAATAATTTTTTTTTAATTTTTATTAAAAAAACGTTCATAATTTCTACATATGGAAATGTATACATGACATAATCCTTAAAAAAATTTAAACAATTATCTAATTTATAAAAAAACTTTAAACTATTATCTAATTAATAAAGTATGAAATAAAAAAATAGATATTACATAATTGTTGAATAAAAAAGTTAATATTTATAAAGTACTAGTTAAAAACGAAAAACCGCGTTCGCTTACTTTGCAAAAATTGTCAATTTTGATCATCCATAGTAATCTGTCATCACCTCGTCACAATCGATTTCTTTGATAAATTCAGACACATCGTTAAGAAATGTTTGGATACAAATTTTTATGCTATAAGTAAGTACTGTTTGTTTCGTATCAGATTAATTTAACTTTAAATTTTCTAATTTTACTCAAATAACGTGTCAAAAATATATAAATTTATTTTAGGAAGAAGTTTAAAATCAAAATTTTGTTTGTTTACAAATTTCTTAAAATTTTAGAAAATGTCCGCTTTTAAGAAAATTAAACAAAAATCGAGCATATATTTGACATTCCAATCTATATAATTTCTATCTGAAAGACACCAAAATATGTTACTTACTGTAAGTAATAAATTTAATGCTTTAGCTTTCAATTAATAACAACATATTGAGACAAAACTTTGTTTTTGTTGATTTGAGCCGTTTTTAATCGAGATATGTTGCTTTTTTACATGACCTAATGGAGGACCCAATATATATATATATATATATATATATATATATATATATATATATATCTCTCTCTCTCTCTCTCTCTCTCTCTCTCTGGCTCCACTCTTTTGTATTGTCTTTTCACTCTCTCTCTCTCTCTCTCTCTCTCTCTCTTACTCACTCTCACACACATTCTCTTCTCTTTTTCTCTTTCTCGTTCTACTTTCCATTTTCTGTTTCGCAACCTCATTTACTCTCTTTCTCGCTCGCTCTCTCTCTCTCTCTGTATATATATATATATATATATATATATATATATATATATATATATATATATATTAATCAGTGGACCCTAAGTAAGGCGATAATGCCCCTAAGGCACAAAGGGCTACTGAGAGTGAAAGGGAATGAGATTATTTTTAAATGGAACCGAAACCCAATTTTAAATAGGATAAATATCTACTCCTGTTCAAAAAAGGTGTGAACAGAACTATAGTCTAACTTTCGAACTATATATATATATATATATATATATATATATATATATATATATATATATAAAATCAGGTTTTCATCAGGGTCAGTGGGTCATATAAATCTATTGAATTATTGCCAGATATCGTACTTATACTTTGCGTAAGAAATTCAAAAAAAATAAAATTCAAAAAAAAAATTTAATTTTCAAGTTTAAATTTAATATTTACAATAAGCAAAATACTTTCATGTATTTCAAACTGAATTTAAATTGACTGGAATTATTTTTCTGATTATCATTAAAATCTATAAAATCGTTCATATTGACAAAACTTTCATCACAGCATAATAATCTTTATTAAAAAAATCTTTCAAAAATATAATTTTCTGAAATGTTATTTGAAAAAAAATTAGTTGATTTAAATTTTAATTAATCTGAATTCAAACAAATATTATTTTCTTTTAGTTTAAAATATCAAAGAATAGAATATTTTTAACAAGGAGGTGGGTGTTGTGAACTACTGACAAATTTATTGAGAGCCTGACGTTTGGGAAATTTAAGTAAGAAGATAATTGTAATAAAATTACATGACGAATACGATATGCTTGCCTCTTTTATATAATTTTTTTTAACTACCCAGTAATCATAGAATATTAAATATTTTAAGCATTGTCATATTTTTATTGAATTTTAGATAATTTGGATTATCACTTACGAAAACGATTGTTGAGAAAATAGAAAATTACCAATATATTTTAAATTTAGTAAAGTTACCACTTATTTTCGAATAATGCCATGTATGGACGTCCGTATTTAACGACATTTTTTTTTACATACATCAGGTGTTCGTTGAATTCCAATAAGCTTTTCCAATTATGATAACAGTCTTAATTTAATAACAATATCACTTGACCGCTACAAATTAATATACAAGTTTGAAAGATTTAAAACTTTTATAAATTATTATAATTAAGATGAAACAAATGAAAACAATTTATGTAAAAATTCATTATACAACCAAAAAGATATTTTTTCTTAACACGTTAGTGTCCATAATATATCTCTATCTATAAAAGGCAGGATGTGTGTGTGTGTGTGTGTGTGTGTGTGTGTGTGTGTGTGTGTGTGTGTGTGTGTGTGTGTGTGTGTGTGTAACGAATGCACGGCCGCAATTTTCGACGGATTTGCACCAAAATTTACATGCACATGCTCCAAGTTAGCGCGAACGCCAAGACCGACTTTGCATTTCCCAACTCCCATCGATAGTGGAAATAACCGATTTTTTTCATGCTTCTGCGGCAGTTTTCATGTAGTTTGCGGCCATTTTGTACTGGCCAGAGTGAGAGCCTATCGCTGGCTACCACGAATAGGCAGGAAGATTCTATTGGCCAGCGTGAGAGCCAACAGCTGACTGACACGAATGTTAACTAGCATGCTAGCATGCAAAAAAAAAATCGATAGCTGCATTTGTCACAAGTGAGAAAAATTTAAATCTGCATGGCACTTTACTCCAATTGGCTCATTCGCTTGCTTAAACTCAACGTTGATTCTGATTCCGCAGAACTGGGTTGGGTGTGAAAAAGTATTTGTTGTTAACATTCTTTTTCATTCGGTTTTTCCAGTTACGAGTCTTTTTTAAAGCTGATCGTTTTGTGTTCATTTTGTTTAGTTCTTTTTTTCGTAACAGATTTAATGTTTAGTATAGAGCTTAGAAAAAATTCGCAGTGTGAGATAGGCAAGAAGTAAGGCATGTAGCAACATCAGCACGGCAAAGGGCACTCCTTTAAAGGTAAAGAGAGGCAAACATATTTTAAGTCAAGTGATAGCGATTGCTGCATGAGTCGTACTGCTAGTCTTCTTCATAAAAGCAATTAAAAGATTTTATATTTAAATAATATCTTATTTTAATTGCATTTTTTTTATTTTACGTTTCAGAGGAGATTTTCTGTAATTGCTTATTTGAATTCTCTCAGGATTTCTTCTTATTTTTTAATATAAACATTAAACATTTTAATATAAACATTAAACGCTACAAAAAGAATTGGGTGGCAACAGATATAAAAAAATATTTTACCAGATTTTCTAAAAGAAACTTTTCATAAATAATGTTGTTCATTTGTGAATAAGTCCTGAAATTTTAATTAAAATCCGACAGTTATCTGATTTTTACAATAATTTCGAAATTAATTTGTTTTTCACCGTTTTAATTTTTTCCATACTAATTTATGGTCCCACGTTGACGCAAAAAAAAAACAATATTTTTAACCAAAATTTCGAAGGTTTTGAAAAGGATTTAAACAAAGATTTTTACATAAAAAATCCTTTGGTTTTCCTCTTAATAACATAAAGATTTTATCGATAAAACTTTGCTTTTATTAAGATTTGTGTATTTTTTCATCATGTATGGTCACTATTTTTAGCTAATCTTTGGAGGGACATGTATGTGTGTGTGTGTGTGTGTGTGTGTGTGTGTGTGTGTGTGTGTTTGCTTGTTTGTTTTAAACAATAAAAAATATTAAAAAATTTAAATCTTCAGACACACTGGGTTGTATATTAATATTCTTTCGTTTTTATTAATTCAATCAGATTCCTCGACTAGTTTCGGCCAACATGGCCATCATCAGGAGAAAAAAAAAATTCTGCTTGTTAGTAGCAGTGAACTACAGAAATTAATGTCTTGATGAAGAAAATGAACTTTTGTCTGCAGTTTTCATTTGTTTTTTGTATTTTTAACATGAATTTTATATATAAGACGTTTCTGAAATATAGCTGCGTTTCCGTAATTTAAAGTTTTATGTGGACTTCCAGGTATACGACTGTCTCAAAATATTCAGGTGGTTCAATGGACAAGAAACACACTTGTATATTTATTCGAATGAAAGTCGCCGGGAGGTAGCCATATTTAAATATCGCTTCTTTTTTTTTAAATTGCTAATATCGTTTTTTATATTACTTACATCGGCTCTGTTTATGTATTTTTCATATTTTACATCGAGAACTATTCCTATAGCGTTTTTTTTTTTTGTTGTTTTATTGTACAATATATATATATGTGTGTGTGTGTGTGTGTGTGTGTGTGTGTGTGTGTGTGTGCATTAGGCAGCATATCTTCATTCAAGCAAGTTTCATTGAATCTTATGGACATATGTCTATATTTATATAATAATTCTTTCTAGTTCTCTAATCAATTTCTTGATGTTAAGATGAAATTCATCAAGGGCATCTCACTTCCTTTAGGAATGTCAGTCACTATGCGTTTTTATTGGCTGACATATGCCCACGAGCGTCCGCAGCTGCTGGGGATGGATGTTTTTTCATCGAGTTACCATGTTGAAACTTGTTACCAGACATGGCTAGAAAACCCAGTAACACCCACACTCACGCACACACATATATGTGTGTGTGCGTGAGTGTGTGTGTGTGTGTGTGTGTGTGTGTGTGTGTGTGTGTGTGTGTGGTTAGCAGGCTTATCTCGCTAGGACAATTACGACTGTGTAGTGAGTTCGATCCTCACTGGGTGCCTAATACTTTCGGCCTTGTGCCACAGCTAAGTTTGGAAAATCGCTATAAATATATATATGTGTGTGTGTGTGTGTGTGCGTGTGTGTGTGTGTGTGTGTTTTTTTCTTGATAGTTGAAATGTGTCTCCTTGATTAGTCGTTTCGATTCTTATCCCAGAGAAAGGCTGGATTCGTAAAAAGTTTTTTTCACCTTCTTCAGTCTTTTTGCTCCATGATTAATATTTAATGCTACTTGATTGTCTTTCTTTTTTAGTCATCAATACATACGTGTAGTAGTAAAATCTACAATTCCCATGAGTGTATATTTATCTGTCTCATTTCACCCTACTGATAATATATGCCTCATGGGGATTGTACATATATATGTGCTTGGGTTCAAAAAAGGGGAAAAAAAGGGCAAACCGCTTGCACGAGCAATAACAATAGTAAAATAAAGCGAATCTCCTAAGTTCGTACACTTCCTGTCCCGGAGAGAAGACTTTGATAAAATCTGTGTTTGTTCAAGATTTGGTGGATTTTCTTTCCATAAAAGATTGAAACCATAAACAGATAAAAGACAAACACGCAAGCAGTCGTTCGATATCGGCCGCTTAGCTCCAGGGTAACAAAATATTCCCAAATTGTTTTAAAACACGTGAACCTACAGGGAAAATCCAATCTCTAAACATTTCAGTTGTTAATCTTAAGTCTCATGAAATACCAAGTGTGGCACACAAAAAAAGATATGTGTTTTTTTTTTTTCCAACACTGGATACTGATGTTGCACGATGAAAATAAAGTCTTCTAATTGTGATTGGATAAAAGACATAGCGGAAGAAAATAATGAAAAATGTCATAAAGTGACGCTTTTTTTTTATGGTGAGAAAAAAAAGTTTTACGAAAGAAAGTTTCGGTTTCTTGATATAAAAAATAATGGAGAAAACAAAAAAATGTTTGAATTTAATTTATTGTAACACAGAGGCGTGTTAGAGTAATGGTTAAGGGCTCGGAGTAAGGATCGTAAAGCCGAGTTCGAATTCCAACCAAGTTCATTACATTCCAGTTCATGTAATGAGCTCGATACCCTTAGGTATCCGTCTTTTCTTCTCCTAGCTATAGGTAAAAATGCATGACAGATTGGGTTTTATAACATTGAATTCAAACCACCTTCTGCTTTGTAGGTCTTAGGCTAGAAGAAAATAACTTCAAATCCACCTCTGAGAGGAGGGATGTGGTAACCTCAACATCCCCGGGGCAAAAAGAAACTGGCAAACCATTGCACTATTCTTCCTTGAATGACACAAAGAACCACAATTGAGAGATGGAGAGGAATGGTAAAAACAGCGGCGTAAAATCTGTTGAATGAATTATGATGATTGCTACTCTACGAGTTTAAGCAATTCAAAATGGAGAAAGTGTAAATAGTACCGATTTCATTACATTTTGTTAGTAAGAAGAAAAAAAAACAGCAACCCAGACAAATATGAAAAATCTTAGCTGGGTTTTAAAAACCAGTGCTGAAACCCTACAGCATAATACCCGTAAAAACTGAAAATTGGATAAAACGTGACTCTTCCATTCTTGATGAGGATGATAATGAGGATGTTGGCTTTATCTGGTATCCAAGAATTTAATTTCTTCTTTGCCGATCGCTTCATTTATGATGATTAGCGTCGATAGGTATCCGTCTTTTCTTCTTCTAGCTATGGGTAAAACAACAGGAAAGATTGGGTTTTATAACATAACATTGAATTCAAACCACCTTCTGCTTTGTAGGTTCTAGGTTAGAAGAATGTAACTTCAAATCCACCTCTGAGAGGAGGGACGTGGAAGAGAATGAAGGTAATTCGCTACAATGTTTGTGACATAGCGAGTCTTAGACATGAAGGTAAGAACTGATAAAAATAACTAATAGTACCTATTTTAAATAAATATTACCTAGTTTTTCTATGACTGTTTTCCTACCCACAAGTCAAGTTATGAACTCTTCTTAAGCTAACAAAGTCACCTAATAACTATTTTCCATTACATTTTCCTGTAATTTTTTATTTTTTTTTATTTTGAGTTCTACTGTGTACAAAAACCAAATACCGAAAGAAAGGAGTCACCTGTGTCCTCATGTGGGAAATTTATTATTATTATTATTATTATTGTTGTTGTTGTTGTGCTTGTCCCTTCCTTTCTTAGTTCACACGACCGTTACGACCTGCAGTACATCGTAAATAATGGACTATTCCGTTTTAATCTCGTGGAAAGAGGGGAAAAGACACTACTTGGTTTCAGTAAGAAAATGAAAGAAAAAAAGCAACACTTTGATCTTACCAAAAAAGCCGAGAAGCGGGTATTTTTCAATGAGTCCACATCGCTACCGTATGTGACACAAGGTCAGTTTAAAGTGAGTTGAACGGCAATACCGCAGAAACACTGCCCAAGTCATTTCGGCACTTCCCCTTTTGGGGACGTCTCAGGCGCCAGATAATAAACCCATCCCCACTCAAGAAGGAGAAGTACTGCCTGGAGCTTGGGTTTAATATTATTTCAACCTCCCCGAGCCAAAAGGCCGAGAATCGATGCTGACTGCGATAAAAACTCCATTTTTCAGACAGTATCGAACACGACAAAAACTGAGAAAGGCATCGCCAAAAACCCAATTGGCATAAATAAAATAACACCGTCTGTTTAATTATTTTTAATTTGTTATTAAAATAAATTTTCGTAAGACGGGTATTTGGCTGGTTATCATTATTATTATTATTATTATTATTATTATTATTATTATTATTAACAGTTAGGAAAAGAGCACGATTTAAGAAAAGGTAAAGAAAAGAATGAACTCAGTATTTAAACAATATTTCGACAGAATGTCCGTTTTCTTAAAGTTATATTTAAACAATTTTTTTCAAGTATAAAAATATATAAATCTACAAAAAATTATGTCTATAAGTCGTTGCTTGTCTACGATTTATTACTGACTGAATACAGTAAGTGTGACACAAGGCTAAAAAAAGCGGGAAGATGAATCAAGGCTGGTCGACACTAACTATCCTATAACTAGCTAATCAGATTCACGACCTATTCATTCGTTACAATTTACTCCTTCGCCATAAGAATCTATCCGTCACCATTTGCTCCTACATACACCAAAATATCTCAAACGTACACAGAGCACCTACAAAAAAATAACACCCCATGACGCAAAAATTTCACTATGTACAATTTGTGTATACAAAAATATATATAAAAATTCTATCAATGTTATGAAATGATGGGTGTGTGATGACCCCGAAAACAAACTGAAAAACAAAGATGTTAGTTAAGACCCGTCCACCCCTCAAAAATAAAAGTTGCCGCTTATCTAACAAAATCAAGAGGCTCTTTCTCTAAGGAAGCGGAAAGGATAAAAAAAGAATATGGGCATTAGAAAATTTTAAAGACTGATCCAGTCAAGAAGAAAAGAATAGGCCAAAATAAAATGGGGAGGTTGGGAATCTGGATTTGGATCATAGGGGGGAAGCCGAACACAAGCAGGGAACGACACTTACTTACATTAACTAGGTACACAAGAAGTGTCTATTTTAATCAGGGGAGTGCTCAACAGGAAACCGCCCCGTTGTGACTTAGGGGAACTTAAAAAAGGAAATTAAGGCTAGCCCCCGTTCACGCGAACCAGGCTCGCTACAGTTACCCTCCTTTCGCTGAAATCTATCAATAACATCCGCTTTCTATCAGTTCTAATCTTCATTCTGAGCTGATGCTCAAAGAATCTGAGCAGTTCCTGATGAGAATGCGAATCACATCGCATGCTTTCCTCCATCCATTTCGTCCAAATCACTATTCTAGCCGTCAGAAACACCACCTGTTTCACCCCATAATACGGGGGGGGGTGACACGTTATCACACGCGTATGCATGATCAATGAGCACAAACTTTTCGGGGGCGAAATTTCCCTTACTTGATTAGTTATTAAGAGGAATTAAACAGCTTAGTATAAATCTTATGGAACTCTCTTGTCACTCTGTTCATTCCGCCGAGGCGGGAAATTAGTAATTTGCATACGTAACTATCCTCATGCGTTTTAAGGGTCGAAAGGTCGGTAGATACTGAATATTTTTTTCAGAGTGCGCACCTTAACATGTTTATCAAAATTACATTCGTTTGTAATAAATAAATGTTCTGTAGATTTATATATTTTTATACTTGGAAAAAAATGTTTAAATATAATTTAAGAAGACAGACATTTTGTCGAAATATTGTTTAACACTGTCAAACACTGAGTTCTTTTCTTTTTTATCTTTTCTTAAATAGCGCTCTTAACTGTTGAAAAAATATTGGAAGAGTTGCGTCAATCATTTTGTTTATTATTATTATCATTATTATTATTATTATTATTGTGTATGGTGTCATCTTTGCCAGAGAGTATTCTTAAGTCCCTAATTACCAGCCCCACTCGGGGACTATGAGTTAAAAGGGCACCGTAAGAGAGTTATTTATGCACATTTAAGGCGTCTCATTTAGATGAAGAGGATTTTTCGGATGATATGTGCAGTTCCGCCCAAAGTAAATTTTTGTAGACAGAGATGTTGATATATCCAGGAATTTTACTGACATGATTTTCGGCACCTTTCTGTATAATAGTCAATGTCCCTATCACAACAGAGATAATCATAGTTTTAAGTTTCCACTTTTTTTTTTTTTTTTTAACTTCGACTTGTAGGTCCTGACAGTTTTCGAAATTCTTTTTTAGAAACATTGGTATTTTGTGGGCAACTCATATCATTTAGTTGGCAGTTTCCTTTTTTTGAAACCTTTTATGACTATTATTATTATTATTATT